TTCTACTGTTAATACTTCTACTGTTGGTACTTCTACTGATGGTACTTCTACTGTTGGTACTTCTACTGTTAATACTTCTACTGTTGGTACTTCTACTGTTGGTACTTCTACTGTTGGTACTTGTACTGTTGGTTCTTCTACTGTTGGTACTTCTACTGTTAGTACTTCTAGTGTTAATACTTCTACTGTTGGTACTTCTACTGTTGGTACTTCTACTGTTGGTACTTCTTCTGTTGGTACTTCTGCTGTTGGTACTTCTACTGTTGGTTCTTCTACTGTTGGTACTTCTACTGTTGGTTCTTCTACTGTTGGTACTTCTACTGTTGTTACTTCTACTGTTGTTACTTCTACTGTTAGTACTTCTACTGTTGGTACTTCTGCTGTTAGTACTTCTACTGTTGTTACTTCTACTGTTAGTACTTCTACTGTTGGTACTTCTACTGTTGGTACTTCTACTGTTGGTACTTCTACTGTTGGTACTTCTACTGTTGGTACTTCTACTGTTGTTACTTCCGTTAGTACTTCTACTGTTGGTACTTCTACTGTTGTTACTTCTACTGTTGGTACTTCTACTGTTGTTACTTCTACTGTTGTTACTTCTACTGTTGTTACTTCTACTGTTGGTACTTCTACTGTTGTTACTTCTACTGTTAGTACTTCTACTGTTAGTACTTCTACTGTTGGTACTTCTACTGTTCGTACTTCTACTGTTGGTACTTCTACTGTTGGTACTTTTACTGTTAGTACTTCTACTGTTGGTACTTCTTGTTAGTACTTTTACTGTTAGTACTTCTACTGTTAGTACTTCTACTGTTAATACTTCTACTGTTGGTACTTCTACTGTTGGTACTTCTACTGTTGGTACTTCTACTGTTAGTACTTCTACTGTTGGTACTTCTACTGTTGTTACTTCTACTGTTAGTACTTCTACTGTTGGTACTTCTACTGTTGGTACTTCTACTGTTGGTACTTCTACTGTTGGTACTTCTACTGTTGTTACTTCCGTTAGTACTTCTACTGTTGGTACTTCTACTGTTGTTACTTCTACTGTTGGTACTTCTACTGTTGTTACTTCTACTGTTAGTACTTCTACTGTTAGTACTTCTACTGTTGGTACTTCTACTGTTCGTACTTCTACTGTTGGTACTTCTTGTTAGTACTTTTACTGTTAGTACTTCTACTGTTGGTACTTCTTGTTAGTACTTTTACTGTTAGTACTTCTACTGTTAGTACTTCTACTGTTAATACTTCTACTGTTGGTACTTCTACTGTTGGTACTTCTACTGTTGATACTTCTACTGTTAATACTTCTACTGTTGGTACTTCTACTGATGGTACTTCTACTGTTGGTACTTCTACTGTTAATACTTCTACTGTTGGTACTTCTACTGTTGGTACTTCTACTGTTGGTACTTGTACTGTTGGTTCTTCTACTGTTGGTACTTCTACTGTTAGTACTTCTAGTGTTAATACTTCTACTGTTGGTACTTCTACTGTTGGTACTTCTACTGTTGGTACTTCTTCTGTTGGTACTTCTGCTGTTGGTACTTCTACTGTTGGTTCTTCTACTGTTGGTACTTCTACTGTTGGTTCTTCTACTGTTGGTACTTGTACTGTTGGTACTTCTACTGTTGGTACTTGTACTGTTGGTACTTCTACTGTTAGTACTTGTACTGTTGGTACTTCTAATGTTGGTACTTCTACTGTTGGTACTTCTAATGTTGGTACTTCTACTGTTGGTACTTCTGCTGTTGGTACTTCTACTGTTGGTTCTTCTACTGTTGGTACTTCTACTGTTGGTTCTTCTACTGTTGGTACTTGTACTGTTGGTACTTCTACTGTTGGTACTTGTACTGTTGGTACTTCTACTGTTAGTACTTGTACTGTTGGTACTTCTTCTGTTGGTACTTCTACTGTTGGTACTTCTACTGTTAGTACTTGTACTGTTGGTACTTGTACTGTTGGTACTTCTTCTGTTGGTACTTCTACTGCTGGTACTTCTACTGTTGGTACTTGTACTGTTGGTACTTCTACTGTTGGTACTTCTACTGTTGGTACTTCTTCTGTTGGTACTTCTTCTGTTGGTACTTCTACTGTTGTTACTTGTACTGTTGGTACTTGTACTGTTGGTACTTCTACTGTTAATACTTCTACTGTTGGTACTTCTACTGTTGGTACTTCTACTGTTAATACTTCTACTGTTGGTACTTCTTCTGTTGGTACTTGTACTGTTGGTACTTCTGCTGTTGGTACTTCTTCTGTTGGTACTTGTACTGTTGGTACTTCTGCTGTTGGTACTTCTACTGTTGGTACTTGTACTGTTGGTACTTCTACTGTTGGTACTTCTACTGTTGGTACTTCTACTGTTGGTACTTCTTCTGTTGGTACTTCTTCTGTTGATACTTCTTCTGTTAGTACTTGTACTGTTGGTACTTCTGCTGTTGGTACTAGTACTGTTGGTACTTCTACTGTTGGTACTTGTACTGTTGGTACTTCTACTGTTGGTACTTGTACTGTTGGTACTTGTACTGTTGGTACTTGTACTGTTGGTACTTCTGCTGTTGGTACCTCTACTGTTGGTACTTCTACTGTTAGTACTTGTACTGTTGGTACTTCTGCTGTTTGTACTTGTACTGTTGGTACTTCTGCTGTTGGTACTTGTACTGTTGGTACTTCTACTGTTGGTACTTGTACTGTTGGTACTTCTGCTGTTGGTACTTGTACTGTTGGTACTTCTACTGTTGGTACTTGTACTGTTGGTACTTGTACTGTTGGTACTTGTACTGTTGGTACTTGTACTGTTGGTACTTGTACTGTTGGTACTTGTACTGTAGGTACTTCTGCTGTTGGTACTTCTACTGTTGGTACTTCTACTGTTGTTACTTGTACTGTTGGTACTTCTGCTGTTGGTACTAGTACGGTTGGTACTTCTACTGTTGGTACTTGTACTGTTGGTACTTGTACTGTTGGTACTTGTACTGTTGGTACTTCTACTGTTGGTACTTCTGCTGTTGGTACTTCTACTGTTGGTACTTGTACTGTTGGTACTTGTACTGTTGGTACTTCTGCTGTTGGTACTTGTACTGTTGGTACTTGTACTGTTGGTACTTCTGCTGTTGGTACTTCTACTGTTGGTACTTGTACTGTTGGTACTTCTACTGTTGGTACTTGTACTGTTGGTACTTCTGCTGTTGGTACTTCTACTGTTGGTACTTGTACTGCTGGTACTAGTACTGTTGGTACTTCTACTGTTGGTACTTGTACCGTTGGTACTTGTACTGTTGGTACTTCTACTGTTGGTACTTCTACTGTTGGTACTTCTACTGTTGGTACTTCTACTGTTGGTACTTCTACTGTTGGTACTTCTACTGTTGGTACTTCTACTGTTGGTACTTATGTAACACCTTCCTGCTTGCTGCTCCACTCCCTCAACGCCCCAGGTTAACACTGCTCACTGTGACACTCCCTCAACGCCCCTGGTTAACACTGCTCACTGTGACACTCCCTCAACGCCCCAGGTTAACACTGCTCACTGCGACACTCCCTCAACGCCCCAGGTTAACACTGCTCACTGTGACACTCCCTCAACGCCCCAGGTTAACACTGCTCACTGTGACACTCCCTCAACGCCCCAGGTTAACACTGCTCACTGTGACACTCCCTCAACGCCCCAGGTTAACACTGCTCACTGTGACACTCCCTCAACGCCCCAGGTTAACACTGCTCACTGTGACACTCCCTCAACGCCCCAGGTTAACAGTGCTCACTGTGACACTCCCTCAACGCCCCAGGTTAACACTGCTCACTGTGACACTCCCTCAACGCCCCAGGTTAACACTGCTCACTGCGACACTCCCTCAACGCCCCTGGTTAACACTGCTCACTGTGACACTCCCTCAACGCCCCAGGTTAACACAACTCACTGTGACACTCCCTCAACGCCCCGGGTTAACAGTGCTCACTGTGACACTCCCTCAACGCCCCAGGTTAACACTGCTCACTGTGACACTCCCTCAACGCCCCGGGTTAACAGTGCTCACTGTGACACTCCCTCAATGCCCCAGGTTAACACTGCTCACTGCGACACTCCCTCAACGCCCCAGGTTAACACTGCTCACTGTGACACTCCCTCAACGCCCCAGGTTAACACTGCTCACTGCGACACTCCCTCAACGCCCCAGGTTAACACTGCTCACTGTGACACTCCCTCAACGCCCCAGGTTAACACTGCTCACTGTGACACTCCCTCAACGCCCCAGGTTAACACTGCTCACTGCGACACTCCCTCAACGCCCCAGGTTAACACTGCTCACTGTGACACTCCCTCAACGCCCCAGGTTAACACTGCTCACTGTGACACTCCCTCAACGCCCCAGGTTAACACTGCTCACTGTGACACTCCCTCAACGCCCCAGGTTAACACTGCTCACTGTGACACTCCCTCAACGCCCCAGGTTAACACTGCTCACTGTGACACTCCCTCAACGCCCCAGGTTAACACTGCTCACTGTGACACTCCCTCAACGCCCCAGGTTAACACTGCTCACTGCGACACTCCCTCAACGCCCCAGGTTAACACTGCTCACTGCGACACTCCCTCAACGCCCCAGATTAACACTGCTCACTGCGACACTCCCTCAACGCCCCGGGTTAACACTGCTCACTGCGACACTCCCTCAACGCCCCAGGTTAACACTGCTCACTGTGACACTCCCTCAACGCCCCAGGTTAACACTGCTCACTGCGACACTCCCTCAACGCCCCAGGTTAACACTGCTCACTGCGACACTCCCTCAATGCCCCAGGTTAACACTGCTCACTGTGACACTCCCTCAACGCCCCAGGTTAACACTGCTCACTGCGACACTCCCTCAACGCCCCAGGTTAACACTGCTCACTGCGACACTCCCTCAACGCCCCAGGTTAACACTGCTCACTGCGACACTCCCTCAACGCCCCAGGTTAACACTGCTCACTGTGACACTCCCTCAACGCCCCAGGTTAACACTGCTCACTGCGACACTCCCTCAACGCCCCAGGTTAACACTGCTCACTGCGACACTCCCTCAACGCCCCAGGTTAACACTCCTCACTGCGACACTCCCTCAACGCCCCAGGTTAACACTGCTCACTGTGACACTCCCTCAACGCCCCAGGTTAACACTGCTCACTGTGACACTCCCTCAACGCCCCAGGTTAACACTGCTCACTGCGACACTCCCTCAACGCCCCAGGTTAACACTGCTCACTGCGACACTCCCTCAACGCCCCAGGTTAACACTGCTCACTGTGACACTCCCTCAACGCCCCAGGTTAACACTGCTCACTGCGACACTCCCTCAACGCCCCAGGTTAACACTGCTCACTGCGACACTCCCTCAACGCCCCAGGTTAACACTGCTCACTGCGACACTCCCTCAACGCCCCAGGTTAACACTGTCAACACTGCTCACTGCGACACTCCCTCAACGCCCCAGGTTAACACTGCTCACTGCGACACTCCCTCAACGCCCCAGGTTAACACTGCTCACTGCGACACTCCCTCAACGCCCCAGGTTAACACTGCTCACTGCGACACTCCCTCAACGCCCCAGGTTAACACTGCTCACTGCGACACTCCCTCAACGCCCCAGGTTAACACTGCTCACTGCGACACTCCCTCAACGCCCCAGGTTAACACTGCTCACTGTGACACTCCCTCAACGCCCCAGGTTAACACTGCTCACTGTGACACTCCCTCAACGCCCCAGGTTAACACTGCTCACTGTGACACTCCCTCAACGCCCCAGGTTAACACTGCTCACTGTGACACTCCCTCAACGCCCCAGGTTAACACTGCTCACTGTGACACTCCCTCAACGCCCCAGGTTAACACTGCTCACTGCGACACTCCCTCAACGCCCCAGGTTAACACTGCTCACTGTGACACTCCCTCAACGCCCCAGGTTAACACTGCTCACTGTGACACTCCCTCAACGCCCCAGGTTAACACTGCTCACTGTGACACTCCCTCAACGCCCCAGGTTAACACTGCTCACTGTGACACTCCCTCAACGCCCCAGGTTAACACTGCTCACTGCGACACTCCCTCAACGCCCCAGGTTAACACTGCTCACTGCGACACTCCCTCAACGCCCCAGGTTAACACTGCTCACTGCGACACTCCCTCAACGCCCCAGGTTAACACTGCTCACTGCGACACTCCCTCAACGCCCCAGGTTAACACTGCTCACTGCGACACTCCCTCAACGCCCCAGGTTAACACTGCTCACTGCGACACTCCCTCAACGCCCCAGGTTAACACTGCTCACTGCGACACTCCCTCAACGCCCCAGGTTAACACTGCTCACTGCGACACTCCCTCAACGCCCCAGGTTAACACTGCTCACTGCGACACTCCCTCAACGCCCCAGGTTAACACTGCTCACTGCGACACTCCCTCAACGCCCCAGGTTAACACTGCTCACTGCGACACTCCCTCAACGCCCCAGGTTAACACTGCTCACTGTGACACTCCCTCAACGCCCCAGGTTAACACTGCTCACTGCGACACTCCCTCAACGCCCCAGGTTAACACTGCTCACTGCGACACTCCCTCAACGCCCCAGGTTAACACTGCTCACTGCGACACTCCCTCAACGCCCCAGGTTAACACTGCTCACTGTGACACTCCCTCAACGCCCCAGGTTAACACTGCTCACTGTGACACTCCCTCAACGCCCCAGGTTAACACTGCTCACTGCGACACTCCCTCAACGCCCCAGGTTAACACTGCTCACTGCGACACTCCCTCAACGCCCCAGGTTAACACTGCTCACTGTGACACTCCCTCAACGCCCCAGGTTAACACTGCTCACTGCGACACTCCCTCAACGCCCCAGGTTAACACTGCTCACTGCGACACTCCCTCAACGCCCCAGGTTAACACTGCTCACTGCGACACTCCCTCAACGCCCCAGGTTAACACTGCTCACTGCGACACTCCCTCAACGCCCCAGGTTAACACTGCTCACTGCGACACTCCCTCAACGCCCCGGGTAACTGTTACACTGAAATATTAAATGTGGGAAGCAACAAAAAAACGAGTTATGAATTTATTATACTTATTAAGAACTTATCTTACGGCTGCCACCACCTTCCTGAACCTGCACCCTGAGTGTGCCTGCACCCTGAGTGTTCCTGCACCCTGAGTGTGCCTGCACCCTGAGTGTGCCTGCACCCTGAGTGTTCCTGCACCCCGAGTGTTCCTGCACCCCGAGTGTGCCTGCACCCTGAGTGTGCCTGCACCCTGAGTGTTCCTGCACCCTGAGTGTTCCTGCACCCTGAGTGTTCCTGCACCCTGAGTGTTCCTGCACCCTGAGTGTTCCTGCACCCTGAGTGTTCCTGCACCCCGAGTGTGCCTGCACCCCGAGTGTGCCTGCACCCTGAGTGTTCCTGCACCCTGAGTGTTCCTGCACCCTGAGTGTTCCTGCACCCTGAGTGTTCCTGCACCCTGAGTGTTCCTGCACCCTGAGTGTGCCTGCACCCTGAGTGTGCCTGCACCCTGAGTGTTCCTGCACCCTGAGTGTTCCTGCACCCTGAGTGTTCCTGCACCCTGAGTGTTCCTGCACCCTGAGTGTTCCTGCACCCTGAGTGTTCCTGCACTCTGAGTGTTCCTGCACCCTGAGTGTTCCTGCACCCTGAGTGTTCCTGCACCCTGAGTGTGCCTGCACCCTGAGTGTTCCTGCACCCTGAGTGTTCCTGCACCCTGAGTGTTCCTGCACCCTGAGTGTTCCTGCACTCTGAGTGTTCCTGCACCCTGAGTGTGCCTGCACCCTGAGTGTGCCTGCACCCTGAGTGTGCCTGCACCCTGAGTGTTCCTGCACCCTGAGTGTTCCTGCACCCTGAGTGTGCCTGCACCCTGAGTGTGCCTGCACCCTGAGTGTGCCTGCACCCTGAGTGTGCCTGCACCCTGAGTGTGCCTGCACCCTGAGTGTGCCTGCACCCTGAGTGTTCCTGCACCCTGAGTGTGCCTGCACCCTGAGTGTGCCTGCACCCTGAGTGTGCCTGCACCCTGAGTGTGCCTGCACCCTGAGTGTGCCTGCACCCTGAGTGTGCCTGCACCCTGAGTGTGTCTGCACCCTGAGTGTGCCTGCACCCTGAGTGTGCCTGCACCCTGAGTGTGCCTGCACCCTGAGTGTGCCTGCACCCTGAGTGTGCCTGCACCCTGAGTGTGCCTGCACCCTGAGTGTGCCTGCACCCTGAGTGTGCCTGCACCCTGAGTGTGCCTGCACCCTGAGTGTGCCTGCACCCTGAGTGTGCCTGCACCCTGAGTGTTCCTGCACCCTGAGTGTTCCTGCACCCTGAGTGTTCCTGCACCCTGAGTGTGCCTGCACCCTGAGTGTGCCTGCACCCTGAGTGTGCCTGCACCCTGAGTGTGCCTGCACCCTGAGTGTGCCTGCACCCTGAGTGTGCCTGCACCACTGATCTCCCAGGCAGGACAGAAACCAATAGTTATGAACACGAAGGGCGTAGGAATCTTGGCAATAATGTTTGGGAATTATTTATAGAAATCTTTAATATACTTATTTAGAGTCTAGGGGCAACTTTATTGTCTATTAAATGGAGGAGAACACGGGGGGGGGGGGGGGGGGGTAGGGGGGATTTCTAGTGCAGCATATAAACATTACATATAACGACTTAGTATTAATGAAAAGGGAAATTAACTAAACACAAAATAATTAACAATGACTTTATTCAATAAATTGGCATGCAAATATATCCTACTCTAACTGCATGCCTGTGAGGCAATATAAACGGAGTGCAGTAATTATGTACCGAACCTCAGACACACTTTACCTTATTTCTGGCATTACCGGCCACATCTTGAATGGCTCTCTCCCTGAGACCCTTGATGCCTGACCGAGTTCCCACCCCAAACACTCCCAGGACACACTGACTAAAATTTTTATCACACACTAACCAGTGGAGGAAAACTCCACCCACACTAGTTAACTAGGCCCAATAAACTCCGCCTCTCCAAGTTTAGAGCCAATGATGTCAAAAGTCCGGCCCTAGGCTTTGGTCCAGCCAATCAGTGCCAGAACCTAGCCCCGCCCACTAGGCCTCCCTGACTTCCACCAATCGAGCTCCAAGATAGGCTATAGGCCTGCCCTGAGAGTTATATTTTCCTCCAGCACAATTCTCACGCTTACACCCAAGGAAACTGGGCCAGAACAGGTATATGGCACCGGCTGAGTTTACTGCCCATCATTTGTCAACGGCTATAGAGGAGACAGCTGGAGAGGCAGGGGAAACGGATGGGGAGGAGGATTGAGGAGGAGGATTAGGAAGAGGATTGGAGAAGAGGAATGGCCTGGAGGAATAGTGTGGAGTGTGGAATAGTGTTGAGTGTGGAATAGTGTGGAGGAAGAGCCTGGACACGGGGGAGATACCAGATGCACTTAAAGTAGCAGACATAGCCCCTCTACACACGGGAGGGAGCAAAGCATTGGCAAAGAATTATAGACCAGTTGCACTAACATCGCACATCATAAAAGTATTTGAGAGAGTGATTAAGAGTCAGGTCACCAATTTCATGGAGACCAATGACCTTCACAACCCAGGCCAACATGGATTTTGAGCGGGAAGATCGTGCCTCTCACAGCTACTTGAGCACTACGACAAAGTCACTGAGGCATTAGAAGAAAAACAGAATGCTGATGTGATATACACGGACTTCGCAAAGGCTTTCGATAAATGTGACCATGGCGTGATAGCACACAAAGTGAAGTCAATGGGAATAACCGGTAAAGTAGGACGCTGGATACTCAGTTTTCTGTCAAACAGGACTCAGCGAGTAACGGTCAACCATATAAAATCTAGTCCAAGTGCAGTTAAAAGCCCTGTACCTCAGGGTACAGTCCTTGCACCGCTGCTTTTCCTTATTCTCATATCAGATATAGACAAAAATACAAGTCACAGCTTCGTATCATCCTTTGCAGATGACACAAAAATCAGTATGAAAATTATCTCGGCTGAAGACACTGAAAAACTTCAAGCTGATATTAATAAAGTTTTCGACTGGGCATCAGAAAATAACATGATGTTTAACAGTGATAAATTCCAGGTACTCAGGTACGGTAAAAAGGAGGACCTTAAACATAATACAGAGTACAAAACACAATCCAATGTACCTGATAGTAGGAAAACAGCATGCAAAGGATTTGGGAATAATAATGTCTGACGACCTAACGTTTAAGGAGCATAACCAAGCAAATATTGCGACAGCCAGAAAAATGATAGGATGGATTACGAGAACTTTCAAATCCAGGGATCCCATCACAATGGTTGTACTCTTCAAGTCACTTATGTTGTCCCGTCTTGAGTACTGCTCAGTACTCACTTCCCCCTTCAGAGCAGGAGAGATTGCTGAAATAGAGGGAATACAGAGAACATATACGGCACGCATAGACGCAATAAAGCACCTAAATTATTGGGATCGTCTCAAAGCCCTCCAAATGTACTTACTAGAAAGAAGACGAGAGAGATATCAAATAATATACACCTGGAAGATACTGGAGGGCCAAGTACCAAATCTACACAGTAAAATAACAACGTACTGGAGTGAACGATATGGAAGAAAATGCAGAATAGAACCAATGAAGAGCAGAGGTACCATAGGCACAATCAGAGAACACTGTATAAACATCAGAGGTCCACGGTTGTTCAACGTCCTCCTAGCGAGCATAAGAAATATTGCCGGAACAACCGTGGACATCCTCAAGAGGTGTGGGGAAACTCCAGGCAGCTATTCACTTTTTTAAATTGACTTTAATAAGATAAAGTTCTGTCTTATTTATTTTCTTAGTAAGTAAGAATTAATTGAGTGAACTGTATGTACTTGTAAACTGCCTGAAATTATCTCACACACTATGGGGGGAGAATTGGTAGCCTAAACCACTTTGAGATGGCTCCTTCTTAAACTACCAATAGTTTACCCTTTATTATATCATACCACATGTGGTGGTTCACTTATTATTATATCATACCACATATGGTGGTCTAATCTACTAGTAATAATTACTAATTATGACTACTAATACTACTATAACAAAAATGGCTTAGCTGAGCCTGTTGTGGGGGCCTGCTAAGGCGTGTAGATGTAGTATCAAGATGGGTGTGGCCTTGCCTCTTGTGCCACGTAATGGCGGCTGGTGGGAAGGACGAGGCTTGGCAAACAGCTAGTTATATTATGTGTATGGACCAACTGTCTGCACAGATTCTTGCTGCTCCTATCACAATTTACCTGTATGGGATGCAAGGAATTAATCAAAGTTCCCTAAACATATCAATTACAGGTATGACATGAAATGTGAGAGCTGTAATGGAGTACACATACATTGTGTTTGTTTTATTCCAACATATAACCGACTTATTCTTATAAATGAAAAAATGTGTACACTATAATTTCAAATACAAAAAATACTTGATAAGCTGGATACGGTCGTTGCTGTGATGTTGATAGTCTGTGTTGCTGGTTGTTGACAGGTAATTTGGGTGTCTAGTTGGGTTCACCAGCTCTAAAGCCTTGTACAGCGTAGGGCTGTGGTTTGTTATTGTTCTGTAGTGGGAGCGTCAGTCTCTGTCTGGGGCCAACACCCTCAGCTTGGTTCACTTCTCAAAGTAATTTTACTTTAACAAGGGAATCAAGCTACATTTTGGTGTTAATAATTATATTCAGTCTTGTTGATTGCTTTTTTCTTAAATCTAGATACAAAACTATTCAATAAACATCATTAAAACAGTGAAATATACGTGTTGTCTATGACGTCATGGGATATCCCATTTTCTTTCCTGAAGGGAAAACGAAAAAAGGGAATACTATGTTATGTGTGTGTGTGTGTGTGTGTATGTATCGGATTCCGACAAGAGGAAACTAGATTTATTCCTCCAAGGAGTGCTGGACCAACCGGGCTGTGGTGGGTATGTGGTCCTGCGGGCCGCTCCTAGCAACAGCCTAGTGGACCAAACTCTCACAAGTCAAGCCTGGCCTCGGGCCGGGCTTGGGGAGAAGAAGAAC